TTCTATTCTGTTGTAGCATACAAATTTAAATTTCTTTAAATATCTCAAAAACTAAAGATTTTAAACATATGTAACCCTTATAATAAATGCCTTTTTTTGGAACCAAGAATCCAAAAATGAAATAAAATACCGGGTGTTCCATAAGAAAAAATATAACTTTGGTATGGATCTTACTTCTGAAACATCCTGTATATTTCAAAATAATTTTAAATTGTGCACATTGCCTCCCCACATATACCCATAAAATATTTTGTTTCTACATCTTTCCGTTTTCGTATATTCAACCGAGGCGAATGAGGCGCGCCACCCTGTATATATTAAACATACAGTAATCAAGCTATGATTGTTTATTTAATTAACCCAGTTACTGGTAGAAATAATACATATTCAATTTGCACGGTCTATCGATCCCGGATTTGGCCGCCATTTTGAAAAAGTCGATATAAAAACTACATTTAAAAAAAAAGCACAAAAACAAATATACAAATAATAAAAAAAATGTCATACAATACAAATCAATTCAAAAAAAAAATTACGTCATAAAATTACAAATAAAACATATATGGACATTGCAAACACAGGCGTATCTAGAAAATTTTACAAAAGGAACACTGTAAATGGATAAAATCATGTTATAATAACATAACATCAAGAGTTATAAAATATTAAATACTAGACCTTTAACCAGTGTGTGAGATGATCAAAATATTAAAATTAAAATTCTAAATTGTTCATGATTAAACATCAACAAAAAAGTCGTTTACCGCATATAGGGCTCTCTCCAGTAAGTATGATTTCAGAGCTTTGCGAAATGCAGGAAAGAATGAAAGGGACTTGATATTCGAAGGCAAATGATTGTACATTTTCTTGGCATTGTACAGTATTGAGCCCTTAACTAGTTCTGAGCTCGGGGTTGGCAGATAAATATCGTGCTCCGCATTCCTAAGTGGATAGTTGTGAGAAGGCTTTTCCGGAATAGAGAATATGTGCTTGCGGATTAAGCAAACGGATTCAAAAATGAATAAGGAAGGAAGAGTCAGTATTTTGAAATTTTTAAAGAAATTCTGGCAGTGAGTTCTACTGTTTAGTCCCAATAAGTATCGAACTGCTCTCTTTTGAAGTTTGAAAATACGATCAAATTTTGTTGCGCAGCAAGTAACCCAGAATGGAAGGGCATAACGAAGATGCGACTCAAAAAGGGCATAATAGACCATTCTAGAGGTTGATGAGTTAAGTTCCTTAGACACTGATCTTAGCGCAAAACAGGCAGAGCTTAGTTTCTTTGATAAGGCTTCGATGTGCAAGTCCCATTTTAACGAGTTGTCCACAATAAGTCCTAAGAATCCCACAGAGTCCACGACGTCAGTAGTGGTGTTATTAAGTACAAAAGGTTGTATAGTACTTTTATATGACAAAACTTTAGTTTTTGAAAGGTTGAGGCATAGGAGATTAGAATCGCACCAAGATTTAATGGTGCGTAAGTCACTGGATATAGTGTCATATAGTGCCGTAACATCTGGGCCGCTCCAAGTGAAACTAGTATCGTCCGCAGAGAGGCAGATTTTACCGCTAATGTCTAGATTTGCAATGTCGTTGATAAACACCAGAAATAAAATAGGGCCAAGTACTGAACCCTGAGGGACACCACATTCTATAGGCTTACAAGAAGACATAGACGTATCAATCCTCGCAAGCTGCCTTCTGTTGCCAAGATACGACTTAAGCCATTCGAGCGGCACTCCCCTGAATCCATAGTATTGCAATTTGTTAATTAAGATATTATGATTTACACAGTCGAAAGCCTTAGAGAAATCACAGAAAATTGTAGCTGTAGAGTGATGGGTATTCAGGCTAGAGTATACACTATTAAAAAGGTCGAACATAGCATCATTTGTGCAACTGTTACTTAGAAATCCAAATTGATGGGTAGAAAATACTTTATATTTAAGGAAAAAAGATAGAAGCCTTTTTTTAACCAATCTTTCAATGATCTTAGATAATGTGAGCAGGAGAGCAATTGGGCGATAGTTCGAAGCTTGATCTTTATCTCCTCCTTTATGCAGAGGAATAATTATTGCTGTCTTAAGGCAGTTTGGAAAAACTCCTTTTTGGAATGACTCATTAATTAAAGTAGTAAGATAGATTAATGTGCATTCCGGAAGTTCAGAGAACATTTTGAGAGTAAGCCCATTAGTCCCAGATGAGAATTTATTTTTAATACTTTTAATTGTACTACGGAGCTCATCTAATGCTACGGGCGTGAAGAAGAAACTGTGTAAATTCTCATTTGCTTTAGGGAGATATGAAAGTGAATCATGAGAAGGAGTTATGGTGTTTACTAAATTTTTAGCCACATTAACAAAGTAAGTGTTTAAATCTTCAGGTGAATTAAAGACTGTGCCAGACGAAGAAGTCTTATTCCTTAAGTCATTTACAATAGCCCAAGTCTCTTTAGCAACATTACCGGATTTGGCTAGCCTCCCATTATAATAAATGTCCTTGGCAGCTTTTATAGTCTTACGATAAACCCTTCTATAAAGTTTCACGTAATTATGAAAGAAAACGCTGTCTGTGAATTTTTTAAGGTGAGATAATGAGCGCATGTTCTTTGCAGATATACGCAAGCCTGTCGTAGACCAGGGTATACCTTGCTTACTTTTGATAGGCCTAAGAGGAAACGCCTGGCACGCCAGATTAGACAAGGTATTTATAAATCTAGAAAATTCGGAATCGACGTCAGCCGAGAGGACACTCAGTTGTTAGACATAGGTGGTGAAAATTTAGAAAATTTTTATCCGAAAAAATACGGCCCAATTTGCGCGAGTTATTTTTGCATTTGGAATGTGGCAAAAACGTTGTCAATACTGACAACGTGAAGGACTCTACAGTCAACGAATTCCGGGTCAAAAGACGACACGACATAATCTATAGTACTAGAGCCAGTTTTAATTACTCTAGTTGGTGAGTCAACATGCATGAGTATACCAAAAGAATGAAAAATGGACTGGAGAGACTCCCTAGCTGCACACACACTGGAAAAGTCAATATTTAGATCGCCACACAAAATTAATTTACTTTTTATAGGTAGGGATTCAAGCAAGCTTAGCAATTTTTGACTGAAAATATGCACGTCAGCGTCAGGTGTTCTGTAAATACAAATAATATAAAGGTCAAAAGCATTATGATAACCGACGGAAAATTCAAAAAATTTTTTGGATATTAGAGTATCGAACTTAGTTACTGCCGTAAAGTCGTTGTTACTAGAGATTAACATAGTACCTCAATGAGATGAGTTACTTCTATTGAATCTAGTTACTGTAGTGTAATTTTTGACAAATACAGGCTCATCCATATTTAACCAATGTTCAGTTATGGCAACAATTTCTGGAAAATTGAGCTCTTCTAATAAAAGATATAATTCATCCATTTTATGTCTTAAGGACTGAATATTAATTAAAAAATCACTAAGCTTGCTATCGTCTAGTTTTTCAGAGGTTGCTTGATCCTCTGTTCGCGTCATTTCACCTAAAAAAGAAATTTATCTTTATTTGGAGAGCCATTGGAGAAATACTTGGTATGACTTTCCCTAATTCTCTGAAGCTGTTGAAGTTTTTCCGTTGAAAAGAAGAACCTGAAGGTAGAAAGATTCGCATCCACTTCAGCTGAGTCAATACCATATACGTTGTGGAAGCGATAATATATCCTACGCAGGGAATCCACGTCACTAGGAAGTCCCTCTGAGGCCATATATAATTTGATGCTGGTGTTGGTGTACCCTTCAAAACACACACTTGAGGGTTGATCGTGAAGATAGGCGAGGAATAGCCGAATAGGTTTTAATATGGAAGGGTCCCTCAGTCTAGCTAGCAAATAACGCCCACCTGCCTCATCCTTTATGGATTTTTTAAAATATCTGGGTCTGGGTGGATTGTAGAAAAAAATGCAGGTAACCAAAAATAAAGCAAATTAAATTCTCTACAAAAAAGGTTCTATTAATTGTTCTCGTAAACTTATCAGTTCTAAAGTTATAGCAATTAACATCTAAGGCTTATTAGCCGACCATACCAACAGGTATGGTAGGCTATTAAGATCGACAAAAAAAGTTTTTTCAATTTCACTCAAAATGAGTTATTTGGGTCATAAATGACCTAAATACTAAATATTTTCATGGTGTCTGTCTGTCTGTCCGTCTGTAACACGATAACTCAAAAACCGCTAAACCGATTTTAACCAAATTTGGCACAAAAAATTTTCTCTACAGTGCACTCAAACCGAGTTATTTAAAAAAAAACCATAAAAATGTCATAATTTTTGTTTGGATTTTTGAATATGGCGGCCAAATCCGGGATCGATAGACCGTGCAAATTTAGTATTCAACAAAGCAAAACAAAGAGAATAAGTGTTATTGCAGCGTGCCCCTAATTATTTCCACCTAAAACCACTTGTCGACTGGTCTATATGAGGTTTTTTCGCTAAAAAATTGTTTGAAAATTTGGAATTTTTTGAAAATTTTATTGGACATTTTTTTTAGGTTTTAGGTTTTAGTTAAAAAACATAATTTCTTGATAATATGGCAACATAGGTAGTAGATAAAATTTACAAGAAAGAATATCGAGAAAAGATCCAGTGGTTGTCAAAATATTAGCAAAAAATTTTTTTTTTTTTAATTTTCAAAGTAAAATAACTCCGTTATTTTGGACTTACTTGAAAAACGATAAACAGAAATCGAGATCTACTACTCCTTAAAATACTTGCACTTATTTCTGGGACACCCTGTATAATAATTCAAAACAAACATTAGGTCTAACCGATTCTAAAAAGTCTAAAAGATAGCTCTAAATTCAATATTGACTAATTTTAAAAGGATAATTTTTGTTTAATCGAATTCTGGGTTAATAAAATCAATTTTGCTATATTTTTGATAATGAACTTTTAAAACATAAATTATCTATAGATCTATAGATATGGTTAAGATGTATGTATAGATGTTTTTTTTGTAGCAGACAATAGGAACTTGGACAGGCCTGTTAGAAAATACCTTATCTTGGCTGAGCAGAATCCGATCGATCTTAAAACAGTTTCCAGTTTTAGATAGAGAGGTATTTTCCGATTGTTTGAGATGTCAAGTAAACTTACTGGCTTCGGACGATCATATAGACGAACTGTTGCAGCAACTTCAAGTTATGGGAGAAGTGATTATTAATAACGTATTGATATAATATGTTTATACACAATTATGACATTTTTAAGGTATTCTGTGTAAAATATTTGGTGGTACTGTCAGTTCCTTGGTTGACTGGGACATTATTAGGAGAACTACTTTCGCCTAACTTTATTTCGCATGCCAGGCCGATTGGTGTTTACTCCGTTGATGATTTCCAACTTAGCTATACCCAATGCGACTCTAGAAAAGTTTTGGGATTATTGGAGGCGTTAAATTTATGCGTTTCTGTAAGCAAAAATATGTGAAGGGTACAGTGAAATACACCGTCATTGCATAAAAATTGACTCTGAGAAAAATGCAAATTAAAGTTTATCAATTAAAATCGGAAGTATAAGTAATTTATAATTGTGCTATTATATATGTGTCATCGGCTTTAAAACGTTCTTTTACGTCTTCCGATGCCCAGTGGCTATTGCTCCTTATCTAGCCAGAGCACCGTACATAAAACAGTTTTATGTACAGTGGCCAGAGGTCGTCTTCGCGCTCTCGTCCTTTTAGTTCATTGTATATTCCTTCTTTGCAGCTGCTGCGTGGTTTACCCCTTTCTCTAGCCTCTCCTCTGATATTCTTTGTACCATATTAATTTGTTTCGTTCTTATGTCATTACTATTGTTCGATTGACCCCCATAATTTCTCGAATTCGTTCATTATATCTTTCATTACCTCGCTCCAATAGCAAACGATGCTTTTGACCATTGTGCTGTATATTTGACGTTTGTTGGATTTAGAGATGTTACTAACCCACAAGACGCCATTTAACATAGAGATTGCCTTTCTTTCCTGAGCGTTCCTTCCCTAATGGCTTTGTCCAGAGTGCCATCCCTTGAATTTTTGGCTCTCAAGTATTTATAATTTCTGCAGCCGTTAATATTTTGACCATTTTCAATGGGGATATTTCCAGGGGTGGATGGGGAAGTGGAAACCGGCCCGGGAATAACAGGCAACCGGCCCAAATCCACAAAAAAATGACCATAACGAAGATATATTTTATTTATTAATATATATATAAGTGAGTGATTTTTGCTCGGGTAAAAAAATCTTTTGCCTCCTTGTTTTTTAATAATAATAGCTCCCGTATATAGCGTTTAACGTCTTGGGAGTATCAAGGTACAGCTTGCTATACTAGAGCCGTTCGGTATACAAGGAAGGTAATGTGGAAATCCACAAAAAAATGACCATAACGAAGATATATTAAGATATATTTTATTTATTAATATATATAAGTAAGTGGGTGATTTTTGCTCGGGTAAAAAAATCTTTTGCCTCCTTGTTTTAATAATAATAGCTCCCAAGTTGGTTTGGGTTCGTTGAAGGACTATTATGTACCAAATTTTTAAAGATTTCAGATACTAATATTGTCGATATAGTTTGTTTATTTCTTTAAAAAATAAAAAAACTGTTTAAATATTTGTTAAAGAGGACCAATTAATATGATTCCAGTATTCAAACTACATTAATTGACTGTTTGCGTTGATTAATAATAATTGCTTCAAATACTAAAAAAATGAATTATTTATGTGTATTAGACAGTGTGATAAAAAAACTAACACCTTAAAAATGTTATTTCATTTTTTGACAAATGCTTATTTATAACAACAGAGACGTTCATTTTCATAACTTATTATTATATTGATTTCTGATTCAAATCCACATTTATTTAGAATAATTTATTAACGAACACAATTAAGTATGTAATTAATTAGTATTTGGACGGAAATACTGGTGGTATATTTAATTAAAGGTATACTCTTTTATAAAGATTTAAATAGTTTCCTTTTTGCATACAAATGGGCTAGTAATATTATCGTTTTACTAAAACGATAATATTACTAGACTTACATTTTGTACATTTGTTGTTTTAAAACAATCTAAAATGTCAATATTCCATGGGTATATTGATAAATGAGGTCTAAATTATAAGAAAATGCATTTTCTATGAAAACTTGAAGGAATAGGTAAAAAGTGGTATAATACAATTTGAAAGACAATTAAATTGTGCATCTGATTCTCATAAAATATACAGGGTGTTCCATTTAGATTAAACAAGTTATTGCCGTTTAAAGCTAGTAATTATTTAAAATAAATTTTTAGACACTCTGTATAAGGTAGTATAATTTTTATTAATGCAACACAATAACTGATCAATAAATAAACTTCAGTAAATATTTAGTATTAAAAACTTTGATACCCTCGGGGAAATGAAGCCTTAAAATTTATACTGCAACTTCACAAAATTGAAAATATTTCAAAAACGGTAAGGTTTAAGAGTAATAAACCTTAATCAAATTTACCTTTATTTTAATCGTAGAAACTAAAAATGCAATAATATACAGGGTGTTTCATTTAAAAAAAATACAACTTTGATATTTTTTATTTATTTGGGACACTGTATCTTGCAAAAATATTTTTAAATTGTAGCTCTAATAGTCCTTCAACGAACTCAAAACTTACAATTTGTAAAAATCTAATCGTTTGGCTACAATACTCCGTGTCGTATGTGGTGAACAACCCTGTATATAAGTAAGTGGGTGATTTTTGCTCGGGTAAAAAAATCTTTTGCCTCCTTGTTTTTTAATAATAATAGCTCTCGTATATACCGTTTAACGTCTTGGGAGTAGCAAGGTACAGCTTGCTATACTAGAGCCGTTCGGTATACAAGGAAGGTAATGTGGCTAGCACTACGCTTCAACCGCCTATTATTACTTCAGGATTGTGAATCCCAAGTACTCATTTAAGGCTGAGTCGACCTAGTGTACCCAAACTATTTTTATTTTAATAAAAATAGTCGGCTGATGAAATGCCGGGTGTGGGAATCGAACCCACACCTTGAGATTGGTAGACGAGAGCCTGTACCTCTACGCCACCGGGCACCTTGTTTTTTTAAAAAAATTGAAATTGTCTTGATCAAAATTTTATAAAGATCAATATCAAGGGGTCGGTCATCTGAATTTTTACTACAAAATGACCAGTGGCGGATACAGAGGGGGCCGGCCCTCCCCTAAAATCTGTAAATTGTGTTAAATATTAGGCTTTTTGTTAAAAATGGTGCCCTAAAAAGCATATTCTACATTACTTTTTATTTTGGGCCCCCCCTAAAATAAATTCCTGTATCCGCCACTGAAAATGACTGTTTCACAGGGTTCTATTGTTTTATTTCCATTATCGATAACGGTAATTTGATCTTGAATAGGCTACGATTTTGAGAAAATTTAAGACTTTCTGATTCATTCAGTCCAGCTGGCCCAATCCTCTGTGAAATCCATTATTTTTATCTTTTCAGGTATATACTTTCTTACACAATAGAGAAAGAAATTCTCTCTTTTCTGGTACAGCAGCAGCCTCGTCGTGTATACATGTTTTAATTTTTGATATAATTCTCAACAAGTAACTTTTTTTGTTTCCTACATTTGGCATCTTGTATGATAATACCATGACCCAAACGAAGAAAAACTAGGCAATACCTAGACAGTGGATATAAATGTGTTCTGAGGTAGATGCTATGTTACGGTCCGTAATAAGAATATTTGGATTTTCGAGACATATTAATATTTTATTATCTAGTCTAGTTTAAACCTTATATAATTCTTCTCTGCTGTCTCACTAATTTTTAGTAAATTTATTTTAGCAACATTTAAAACAACAATTTAGACTTGACTTTTAGTTCTCAGACTTGGCTTTTAGCCTAACCTAACCAAGCATATAGAAGTCATCTTTATGTTTTCTCTGTCAACCGCAGAGTTCGCATCAAATTCGCCTACCTTTCTAAATTCGCCTCTGATGAACTCGAAAAGTATTATTGCACCGAGGCCCCCAATTGTCAAGCTACGCTACCGTATTCTTAGTATACACTTAGATCGAGACTTTTTGGGTTTACCTAATGATATTTACGCTTTTTTCTATTGTACACCCGAGTCTTTATTAGTTATTAATAAAAAAATAGTGGTAAAACTACACAGGATAAGCCTTAAAAAAGTGCAAATATTTTCAGGGGTGGTATATTTCGACCCCAGAAACACGTCTATGAAGTTTTTTGGCAAAAAAAGATGTTGAAAATCGTGCACTTTCATTTAAATTTTCCTGTATATTTTAGAAAACTTCTTAGAACTTCCTGTTCACCGCAAATTTTCATACGGTATAGTTTCTTAATCTTCGGTCTTAATCTTTGATATTACGGGGCTAAAAGAGATGCAAATACAGAAAAATTTCGCTAGCTCTCAATTTTTTTAAAAATAAATCAATTTTTTAAAAAATTTCCAAACTTTAATAACTCGGTTATCTTGGACTTATTTGAAACACGGTAAAGAGAATATATTATGTTTCTTTTATTGAGATCTACTAGCCCTGAAAACATGTGCACAAAGCAGCACAAATAAGGTGCACTTATAGACTCACTCAGACTAAAACATTTCAAATGGAACAACTAACAACTGATGTTTATTAAAATTATAAGTGGCTCAGAGAAAGACATCTAGCAATAGTTATTTGACAAATGTTGGTGTTTATGTTTAAAAGCAACTGACGATTATATTGATGCAAATTGATTAGTTAGTTAGCAGTCACTAAGAATCTAACGTAACTTTAATTAGAAGATTAACCATTTAATTTTTGCTAAGCCAATCTTTTTTTGAGCTCTGATCGGGACCGGCCTACCGGCCCATCTACCCACCGGCCCACCGGAAATTTTCTCGTTTTCCCATATGGTCCATCCACTCTTGGATATTTCCTTGGAGTCCGCCGATGGCACATACTATATTCCGTCTTATTTAAATTCACTTCCAATTCCATGCCTTCTTCCACAATCCCATCTAAATTCACTTCCAATAACATTTGCTGTATTCTTCAAGTATCTTTCTGGTTACATATTCGAGATCGTCGGATTCTTGCGCCAGTACTACTTTGTCGTCTGCAAAACTTAATTTAACAAATAATGTATAGATGGTGTTGCCGTTTAGCGGGATACCCATATGGCTGCATTTCCGTTTCCATTGTAGCAACGTCTTTTCTAAAAATATTTTGAAGAGCGTCGCACATTGGTTCAGATTCAATAAAATCGACGCATAGGGATCAAGAAAAAAATTTCGAAAATTTCAACAATGATATTATTTTCAACAGATGATGGGTCCATTTATTAAAATTTATCACGATCCACTTTTTAATCGTAATAAAAAAGCGTACAGGAATGTTGTTTTCCTTAGATTTTGTAGTTTAAATATATCAGTTATTTGCT